AAATGAACAAAATTCTTTCACTTTTATCCTCTGTCCTCTGCTTTGGGCTCAGTATAATGAGTTATAATAGCTCATTCTAATTTTTGTATTCCCAAATAAAAACAAGCTATGTAAAATTTTTAAAAAACGTTTTCTTAAATGACTGGAAGAGTCCATGGGGTTGCTATATCTCAAAACCACACTGAGCTCAGAAAAGCTGAAGATGGTTGGAAGATTGGAATCAGAGCCTGTATTTGCCCTAGGAACATAAAATACTGGATAAATTTCATGTCAGATATGCAGCAGAAATGTTCTCCAAGTGCTAAAACCAAACCTTTTTTTGTTTTAATACAGGAAATGACAATGAGATGCACAAGCAAGCTGACCAAGTGTAAGCTGCCAACTTTTTCTATTACTCCTTAACTCCTTTCTCTCTCTCTACCTCATGGCAGTAGGTGAAACCTGCTTTTAGTGGCTGTTGGCATTTGCAGAGACATTTTTAATTCAGAATATTGTGCATGTGAGAGGGTTTCAAAGGCTGAGTGCTTGTGGAGGGTTCAGTGGGTGCATTAGGAATGGGTAGTGTGACAGCAGGGGGGGGTGGGAAAGGAAATAGCAGTAAATTTTGCTCAAATTATAGTAAAAAACTTTAATTAAAAGTTGTTTGACTAATTGAAAAAGTACTTCATATAACCTGAAAGGGAAAGAATCTCACACTGAATGGGAGCATCTTCCACTGGTAGAAGGAAAAGTAATTTTTAGATCTTTAACAATCTGTAAGATTTATGATGGTTTGTGAAAATGCCAGCAGGGAGCACTCCAACTTGTRAAGAAATCCACTGTGTTGAAGTTAAATCAAAGTGAAATTTTCAGTTGGGAAGCTGCAAAGCTTCTGCACATTTTAACCTTCTCAAAATCAGATTTTGTTTATCCATGTTGATGTCCACTTCCTGTGCATGTTGTAGATCCCTGTCCAGCTTGGAGAACACAGTAAATCATCTGCTTTGGTCCCGCTCTCTCTCTCTTGATAAACCAGACCTTTCCTCTCTCTCTTGATAAACCAGACCTTTCCTTAGAGGTTTTGTCTTCCTTGTTTGTTGGGATCATTTCAGGAGCCTGTTTTTGCTTCTGCAAAGCTGCATGACCTGGTAGCAAGATATTAAAGATTTATCAATATTGTCACACTAAATACTGTTGACTCTTGGTAATTGTGAGCCATAAAAATTGAATTACTGCACTGAGCAGCAGATTTATCCTTTTTTTTTTTCTGTAAACTGAGCTCCAACAGGTATTTTTTCTTGCATATATGTTCTGCTCAAATATTTTTTGTCCTCCTTCTAAAGTACTTAGTACTAAATACATAATTTTAATCAAGCTCTAAACAAAGCAGGGATCAGTTGATAAAGGCAGTAATTTTAAAAGAAGATTTTTTTTTTTTGAAGCATCTTTCTATTGGAGCAAATCATCTAATTTTCAATAACAGCAGCATAATTGGCTTTTTTGGCAATTCTGATCTCATGATTTTCGACTTGTTTGCAGTTAAGTTGTGTAGCTGGTTCTTACAGTTGTCAATATTTTGTAAAAAGTGAAATAGAAAGTATTTTATAAGCACTGTTCAGTCCAAATTTGGCTGTATTGATTGGCTGGAGTGCATAAACTGKTTCTATAAATTGAAGGATTAATGGGTAAATTTTTTGTATTTTTTAAAAAGAAAAGGCTTCTAAAGCAACAGCAGAAATCCTGTGTTATTTTATGTTTTGCATTGTTAGTGTTAGAATGGGAAGAAGAGTAAGGTRAAGGACAGCCCACTGAGGCGTTTTTCTAAAATATTTTTTTTGAATTTGAGGGGAAATAGGAATGTGTACAAAGTCTGGAAGAATTATGATATAAAGGAATTCTGTTTCTTTGCTGGGTGCAATGTAAACGTACTGACTGCATATGAAATCACATGAAATTACAATCCAGAAACCTGAAAAARTAGGGAGAAGGTTGAATTTTAAAATCACTTGCTGCTGTTGGGGGTTATCAAAGGCAAGCATTGGTGCATTTTGAGGTTCCTCCGTGTTTGGGAGCTTCAGATGATTTTTTTCCATCCTTCAGAAATGCTTTGCATATGGCTGAAGTGCTTTCTTTTATCCTTCTTTCCTCCCCTCTCTTCCCTCTYTCAATATTGGCAGTGGCAGAGGAGTAATTACAGGATTTAAAGTTTAGGGAAGCAGTAATTTTGTTGATCTGCTCATCTTTTTGTTGTAATTTAGCAGGAAGACAGAGGCTGGTGGTTCTTGGTTGGGCAAATGTGGAATTTTGTTTTCTCAGTGGTTCTGGAGCTGTGAATGTGTCARTGGCTGAAAGTCACTCCTGGCTTTGCCTGACTTGAGTTTATTTCTGTTAAATTTTGTCAGTCCCCTTTTAAAAGGGAGTTGGACTAAGCTGTGATGGAGATTCCATGGAATTGTGGAATGGTTTGGGTTGGAGGAGATCTTAAAGCTCATCCAGTTCCACCCCCTGCTATGGGCAGGGACACCTTCCACTGTCCAGGTTCTTCAAGCTCCATCCAATCTGACCTTGGACACTTCCCAGAAATCCAGGGGCAGCCACAGCTTCTCTGGGAAATCCCTTCCAGGGTCTCCCCACCCTCACAGGGAGGAATTCCTTCCCAAAATTCCATCTAATCCTGCCTTCTGTCAATGTGAAGCCATTCCTCCTTGTCCTGGCACTCCAGGCTCTGCATTTAGGATGTGATTCTTAATCCCAGCAGCAGCAAAAGTCAACAGTAAAACATATATTTCTATTCTTGCCTAACAAAAGCACCAGATACATTTCTGTCAAGAGGTATTTTCCCAAAATACTCTGTAATTTGAGCAACTCCCTTGCTCTAATTTAATTTTCTTCAACCGAAAGCTGAATTATAAATCTACATCTCCACTTATTTCAACAAAGAACCTCTTTCCTTATTAAGAGAGCTGTGCAGTGAGAGGAAAWATTGCTCCTTTAAATGGAGGAGGAAGAAAACTCTACCTGTCTAGTAAATGTTGTGTTTGTATTTCTCTTCAGTACGCTGTTGTCGCAAATATATTCTGCTGTTGTAGAGGCTGTGCTTGCTGGCATTGAGTGCTATGCTAAAACTTCCACTGAATCCAAGGTAAATGAAGCACCCATTCTCTCTCTCTAATTGTTGATTTGGATTGCTTGCAGTATGAGATTGACATGCAAACCAAACTGAAAACCAAAATGATTTTAATATTTCAGTCAGTGAAACGACATGAGTTGAGTTCGTACCGTGGACTCCATCCGGTCTCTGAATTCTGTTAAAAAAAATAAGAAAAAAAGAGAGATTTCAGAGTGTGTCCAATTTTACCCATCTCCATTTGGGTTTTCCATCTTTTCCATGAATTTTCCTGACCTCGTAGTAAGGAAAATGAGATCTGTGAAAGAACAAATTTTAGCCTGGTGCATCAGTGTGTTACTGTTTAGTGTATGGTCTCTTGTTGATCTTATGGGTGCTCCTGTAGCTGCTGGGTTTGGGAAGGATGGGAAAGGATATTTTATTCTTTATTTGCTTTTTTTTCAGGCAAAGGAGGTGGCAGAGCAGGTGCTGCTGTCTGCATTAGACACCCTTGGCTTAGCACAGCTGAAATCTGCTTTACGGTGTGTATTGCCATAGTTACTGATTGCTCCATTGTCTCAGTGGATTGGCTTCTTTGGTGGGAAAAATACCAATTATAAACTGAAAGATATTAATTTTAAACTAAACTTGCCTGACTGCTGAATTTCAAGACTTCATAATGCATTCAGACACTTAAAATCATTATAATTATTCAGTTTTCCTGCTTTCTCAGTCACTTTTTTCTCTAAATCTCTTCCTGCGTATTTTCCACATGTAGAAGTATAAACCACACATTTCACCTTTGCAATTTCTGTTCTGCAGCTCCAAAATCGCTTTTCAAATTCAGGCTGTGAACAACCACGGCAGGTTTGTATCACTCTCACACTTCTTGTTATTAAATAGTGCTTTTGATTAAGTAATAAATTTATTTTTCTTCTCTTGGAACTCCTGCCAAAACATTGTGTTTGATTATTTCATACAAGATGTGCTAAATGCTTTTGTGTATGAGATAGTTCAGTGATTTCATATCTGTAATTCTGTGGTATTTTAAAAAAYATTAAAAGAAATWAAAAGCAGTTKGGCARACCAACTTTATTAACTGTTAATGARTAGAARCAGCACAAACTCATTAAGTTTCCTTTTAAAAATATGCTTTTAACTTAGTTGATATCACAAACTTGTGCTTATTTAATCCCACTGTCTAATTGATTGAAATGACCTGCTCAAATAAGAGTTTATTTTAAAATAAAACTGCTTTTTTTGGCTGCTGGAGAGTCACAGGAAATGATCTAAATTTTAAATATTTCATTATCATTGTTTTTCTAGAATTACACCGTTAGATAACGAGGATAGCCTGAGTTTGATCAAAACGGTAAGTAATAATAATAATAATAATAATATTTATGTATTTAATTAGAAAATAGAGCTGCTTTTCTGGGCATGCTGAGATTTTTATGTGAAACAAGTATAAGGGGAGAGATGAGAGATTTCAGATACTGACACGATTTAACAAGAAGTCAGAATTCAGAATAAAACATKAACACAAAATTATGATCTCAGACTTTCACCATGATAAGAAATAGTGGTTGAGGATGTTTGAAATCTCCAGATTTTGCTGTTGCAATTGAAATATTCAAAATTTCACTTTTTCTTCCTTTTCCTCTAACTGCTGGGTTGCTGCAGGCATCTCTGATGGTGTTTGACATTCCAGACCTGCTCACGGGAAGAGGATGCTTGGGCTCTGTTGTGTTTTCTGAGTCCTTTCTGACATCCCAGATACAAGTCAAAGAAAAAGGTGAGTATTTGAAATTCTAACACTGCTGTTATTCTGTTGGGAAAGCSAAAGGGATCCCAATGGATGTCACTGCTGTCACCAGGAGGGGTTTGGAGCACTTTTGGTGGGGAGAAGAGCAAAGGAAAAACGCATAAAAAGATGAGAATAAATCAGGATTTCTTTGAAACTCTGCASCAGTTCTGTGTGTGTCAGAGCACAAGAAGAATGGGAGTTAATCTGCTCTGAAAGTTTCATTTAAACACTCAGAAATCCTTAAAAAAAATAATATTTTTCATATTTACTAAAGGAATTTCAAGTCTTAGAAGTAACTTACTGGACATTYTGAAGTATAGGGGTGGTATTAGTTTAGTGGCCGTGGTGGTATTGGGTCAAAGGTTGGATTTGATGACTTTGGAGGTCTTTTCCAACCTTAAAATTCCCTGATTCCCGTGGTTTCCCTGCAGATGGCAGCATCAATCCAGACTCCAGGCACGTTATCCTGACTGCAGCCATCCCGAGATTTGCYTCCTGGCTGGTGAGTGAGTGCACACAGCCTCAGCTCTACACATCCACAGGGGAAAACATGGGATGGGAGCATGGATATCTGAGGGAAAATATGGAACTTGGGCATTGAAACAGAATTTTATAATGTTAACATATTCTGATTTTTAATATTTGGACAATARGTGAAAAGCTAAGTGGAAAAATAATGGTTCCATTCATAGCACAAGTTTTAAATTATTTCATTTTCACCTTGTCAGKTTTTTTTATGTGTTTGAAGGTGTGGGTGTTTTTGAAGTGCACAGTGGGGCTTTTGAAAATTCTGTTTATTGGGGGGGCACTTTAGATCACCCCAAAAGAAAGCCAGGTCTGATTGCAGAGCTCTAACGTGCTGCACAGTGTTAGAGAGAGAATTCCCAATAATATAACAAAGCTGGACATTGCACTTTGGCAGTGCATGCTTGAACAGTAATAAAAAATAAAATTCCATGGGATACACTGCTTTCTGTCTCTATAATACTATTTTATTCTATAAAACTATTTAATGGTGCAAGGAACTGTTTTGGTCYCATGGTAACACAGCATTAGAAGCACAAAACTGTTTTTGAAGCTCTCTGGGCTCAGGGCTTTTTCTTCCTGAGGTTCTTGTTTGCCTCAAAACTTTTAAAATGCTTTTTATTTAACATTAGAATTGCTTTATTGATCACAATGCAAATGGCACCTTTTTCTGGCTACAGGTTGAAGACAGCGATGTGAAACTCTCTGAGAAGGCTCAGCAAGTATTGAAGGTAAAATGAAATATTTTTGTTAAAAAACTGAAGAAGTTACATTTTGATGAACCAGTATTTGAAAAACTTGAGCTCCTGCCAAACATCTTTTATTATGTGTGTAACTTCTCTTCTACAAGACTTCCCTGTTCTGCCCTGCCTTTTTCAAACTTTGACATACGAAATAATACATTGTGTGTAAAAGTTGGAGGGTTTCTTCATTTCAAAGAATCACAAAACCCAAGAGCAAAAAGAGTTCTAATAAAACTACGATTTCATGGAAGTCTCACTAAACATTACTCATGGAGCTCATGTGTTTCCAAAAAACCCCCAAAACTCCATGCCATTCTACATGCAACTTTCTTTTAACTTAATTAGCATGCTAATGTCTAAAGGGAAACACCCTAAGCATTACAGAAAAAAAAAGTTTGGAATCTGGGAACATCTTAAATCACATGAGTTTCACATTTGTGGTGTAATTTGTGGTTCCCAGGAATGTTCATTATAAATAGATTTATTTTCATGTAATATACTTTTAGCTCAGTAGATTGACAAACTCAAAACAAAAAGCTCAGCCTTGTGGTTGTGACAATAACTTGTAACTTCATAGCTGCTGGCAACACCAAAATGGGGGAAAAACTTTTAAAAATTATCCTCTTGCCCTGCTCCTTCTGTGTCCATGCAGGATAAAAATCTTCTGAAAGTTCTGGCAGATGCTGTTTAAAAATAAAATATTTTCTCTCAGAGTAAAAGCAGGAGAAAATATTTTGCTTGGGTTAGTCCTTGATCCGGTCTGTGATGTTGCTGTTGGTTTTTTTTCTGTTTAGGAAGACAAATCTTTCCTGGGCACTTTACTCACCGGGGGTGATGGAGTATTCATTTGTTCCAGCAATCCACAGACCATGCCTGCAGAAGGTGAGATATACTTGGKTKGKKTTTTTTTTTTTKSYTTTTTTTTCTTGTTTTGGTCTTTTTTTGTTTTATTTTTTAAACATAGGAGAGGGACAGGTTCTGAGATTCACACTTTGATGAGCCAAACAATGCCATAATTTTACGCTTTCTTTCCATTTACCTTCCAAGTTTTTCGTGTTAAATTCCATGTCTGATTCTTTTGCCCTCTGCCTGAAAGTGCTGGTCCTGGAAGGAGAATTCCTGCTGAGCTGCAGGTTTTGGAGGCACATGGGGCTCTTCATGATGGCCAGGGAGGCTTTGCAGACCTGGGAGATGGCTTTTACCCATAGCTGATGTTCAAAAGACACACAGACTGCCTTTCCTGTCCTTACCAGATAATGTGGCAGAAATTTGCTGCCTTTTCTGCGTCTGTATAAATGTGAGGTTGGAAAAATTGGGCATTGCAGAAGTGCCATGGGCTCCCAGCTCAGGGAGAAGGCAAATTTTCCCATCAAAGGCTCCTCCTGGAGCTGACGTGTCCCAATTTTCTGCCGTTGTCTTTTCTCTCAGAAATTCAGTGCTTGTCAGCACACGTGCTCCCTGTGTTACAGAAAAATGCCTGTTCTTGGTTCTGTTCAGATTCAGTCCAAGTTATGGCCTTTTGACACAATATCACTGGCAGCAGTCTTGGATTATTTCTCTTTTAAGAATTTAAATAACATTAACATCCCATGAATAAAACCGAAGACATTTCATTAGGACTGTTGGGATGTGTTTCCCCTCTGTTCTCCCCTCCTACCTCCAACCCACAGACACATTTTAATGCATAATATTTTTATGTTCTAATATCCAGAGAAGGTGTTGCTGTCACACTGCTGATGTGCAGCAGAAGGTGTTGAAGATCTGACATTTAAGTGCTTGGTGCTGACAATTTTCAGAGGAGAACCTTCAGCTTTATTGTCTTTGCCCCGTCGTGTGGAGGATAAATAATGATGTGCAAGGCAATTAAGCAGCAAACCTCACATCAGGGAAGCTGCTTTTGCTCTAATTAATTGGATTTCAAAGGAAAGAGGTTAATGCAGAGTGTGATATTCAGCTATTTTGCAATGCAGYGCTGTGGGCACTTGTTCACTCAGTAAATAACTGGAGAATGTTGGATTTTTTTTTTTTTAGCTTTGTTAAAACTGGCTCTGTGTGCCCCAAAGGAAAAAGTTCACTTTTTTCCATTTTTTGGGGACATTTGTGAAGTTCAATGTTTTGCTGACTCTTGGGCTGGAGAATTACAAGCAGGTGGTGGAAAGACCATTATGAAACCCTGAAAGGAGTGTGAGATTTTCTCAGGTGTCAGATGACAATGAAGCTGATCTTTTTGAGCTGATCWTTTTGTTGAGCTCTGCTCAGGTTGCAGCCCTGTGGCCTGGAACTGTGAGATGTCAAAAGGGCGTGGAATTGTGGAATAAATTGGGTTGGAAGGGACATTAAAGATYATCCTGTGCCACCCYTGCCATGGGCAGGGACACCTYCCACTRTCCCAGGKTGCTCCAAGCCCYRTCCAGCCTGGCCTTGGACACTKCCAGGGATCCAGGGGCAGCCACAGCTTCTCTGGGCACCCTGTGCCAGGRCCTYMCCACCYTCACAGCCAGGAWTTYCATCCCAGTACCCCATCTAATCCTCCTCTCCTTCAGCTTAAAACCATCTTTATCAAAACAAAGCCTTAATACTGAGAAATGCTGAAGATTTTATTCCAAGTTGCCATTTCAGGAGTAAAACATCTCCATTTCTTCATTATTTCATCCCAACATTGTTTGTGCTACCTGTGCAGGCAGTTTCAGCTGTATAATTATTTACATTTTTTTTTTCCTTAAAATACTGACCTTTTCCCTTTTGCCGCCTCACAAACTTCCCAGTGTGGGATGTGATCTTGCTTTTAGTGCCTGGTCCAGCACTGGGAGCAGAAGTCCAGCTGGCAGCCCCTGCTTGGGCATTTTCTTTCTCAGCCTGTCAGAAATCAGCTGTTTGCTGAAATGAGTTTCTAGCACTTCAGTGCAATTTTGTTTTATCTATTTTATCACCCAGTCTTGCTGTTTCTCTCTTTCCAGCTCCTGCAGGTTTGTTAAGAACCAAAATGTACATGTTAGCATCATTTAAGTCGTCCACTTAAAATATTGTATAATGGTTAAATGGAATGTTTAAACATTGTTGCATTTTGTTTAATTATAGGTTAATTTTTAATTTAAAAATTAAATGATGAGTCAGATTTTTAAAATTTAAATCATTGACAATGTTTAAATTTTCTACTTAAACATTTTTACACTGTTCAGTTTGTTAYAAGGTTAAATTTTCAATTATTTTGGATGCTGTCTTAAATTCTTGTCGGTTKTATATTTCTGGAGGTTTGAAATTTGACAGGATGGATTTTTTTTTTGCTTTGAAAGAAAAAAAACAAATCCTCTCAGAATATTTATGATAAGTGGTTCTGTGGGGTGAAATTAACTCAAATGCAATTGTAGTCGTGATTCCTGCTCTTGGTACTGAGATCCAGTAAAGATGGAATTATTGTGCTCACTGAAAACTATCCCAAATCAAATTTACTGCTTGTTAAACACAACAAAATCTTGCAGGAGCTTAGATTTCTTCCTCAGGAAGAGGAGGCAGTCATCATGAGAAGCTCAAATGTTGATCTRTACCTCACACACTTGTTTTTCTTTCAAATTCTAGGCAAACTCTATTTCTTTTCCAATGGCATTCTCTTCTCTGATCCCCACCAYGGCAGCATTTCCATTTCCAAGAACCACATGAGTTCCATTTCTCTCTATGATGGGGTGAGTATTTTGTCTGTTCCTACTGTCACAAACTTTCTATTAATTTTTAATGATGATTCTGTTGGGTCCTGGTATAAAAATTAGATTTCAGCTACAGTTTTTCATGTGTACAACTGTAATAACTGATGCAAATCTCTGTGCTTTTGGTGCTGATTAACTTAAATTAGTGAGTAAGGAGGAGAGAATTTTGTATTGGAGTTAGCAATGTGGTGTTAATAGTGTGAAAACTGCTTTTTATTAAAAGAAAAACTGCAGAACACCATGTTTTAAAACATCTCACAGTGGAAAGCTATGGATAGAGGAAAATTCAAGGTGTGGTGAAATCATAGGGTGTTTTGGAGGGTGAAATGCTGCCTTTTATTAAAAATATCTTTGAATCTATCCCTTGGAATTGAGGGATTAGTGATGACAGCTCAGCTCTGTCCACCTCGAAGCAGAGATACTGGGTTAACCATCACTTCTTCAGGGTGGAAAAGAGATCATTTGTGTTGGTTACTGTTTCCTAAACAGTGGGGGGGAAAAAAATTGAGCTTCCTTTAGTTTTCCTTTTGTTCAGGTACAGTATTACCCATTTGTTCAGTGGCCTCCTGCAGCATTGTGATTTCATTACAAAATACAGGAAACCAGGAAAATACAATCAAAGTGTGTGATTGAATTGAGATGAAAACACAGCAGCTCASAGGCTCTTACCTTAGCTGCCTTTTCTTGGACATCACATCATTGCCCCTCGGTAGTTTAAAAAGCTATTTTAACACTGACCTTCCTTTTATTGTTTGAGTCAAGACGCTCACTTTCATAAAAGTTGCTATTTCTGGGACCTGGCCATCATTCTTGAACTGATGCCAGATTTTTGTGTGAAGCTGAGCCTTGTCAGGGAGTGTATTATTGTTCTACTGACTTGGCAGAATGCAGGGGTGGAGGGTTGAAACTGTTAAGAAGTGACAGGAGAAGCAGGGTAATTGTTGGGTGCTCTTTCCAAAAGTTATTGCTGCAGTGTGGATGGAAAAGAAAGGAGAATTTAATGCTGGGATTAAAATAAAATATATGAAACCTTGAATACAGATTTTTTAGCAGCTTTATCATGATGCCTGGAAGATTTTCTTCCTTTTAACTTGAAAATAGCTGCACTTGTGCTCTCCAGCACTGGCTGCAGATTCCTGTGTTGTGAGGAACTGAGCTGCTCTGAGCTCCTGAAATCCCTGGGACATGGAGGGCACGGGAGATTTTGGCCATTCATCGAGTAAACAAATATTGCCAAGCAATATTTAGGTTTCACAACATTAACATCTCGTAAAATTTGGAGCTGGCTCCTTTCAGCCTCGTGTCCGTGGGGATTATTGCTGCTGCTTTTCAGCTTTTTTCAATTTGTGGAGCCCCAAATGTTTTCCAGGAGCAGATTTGTTGGACACTTCTCATGCTGACTGCAGCATGGRTGAGTTGGCCTTGGAGTCACTTCTCAGGAAATCTTGAAGCCATCCTGCAGAATGCAGGATCTGTGGATTCTGCTCCAAAAGCCATTTGCTTTCTAAAGAAATTGTTCTTTCTCTTASAAGAAGATTTTTGTATGTTCTTCAGTAACCTCAGTGACTTTGAGAGGATTAGTTTTGTAATTAATCTCTCAGTCAGCAAAGGAGAGAAGTTCTGTTTGCAAATGTCTCTGAGTTGATACCAATTCTTATGTAACAGTTCCCCAACTTGAGCTTTTTCTTCTCTAGAATGAGTACAGTGAGTTCTTCACCCACTTCTTTTGAAAGGGAAGTGGATGCAACAAAAATTCTTATTTCAGCCCTAAGAAATGAAATCCGCATTTCCCAGAAATGTTTCATGCTTCTGAATTGTTCTGGTTTTGTACAACTTGAGCGTGAAAAGAGTTACAAATCAAAACTTGAACAGAAAACACTTCATCATCCTGCAGAGTTGTACATTGTACATGAATGCATGTTCATCGTACATGAGTGTCTGTGCTGAAATCCAGAGTCATGGAATGGTTTGGGTTGGAAGGGACCTTAAAAATCATCTCATTTCACCCCCTGCCATGGGCAGAGACACCTTCCACTATCCCAGGCTGCTCCAAGTCCCATCCAGCCTGGCCTTGAACACTTCCAGGAATGGGGCATCTGCCACCATCTGGGAAAAAACTCCCAAAACAAATAAAAAAACAATCCAGGAAAAACAAGTTGATATTTTCTTAGAATAAAAATGGGACAATCTGAGTTCAGTGTTCTGAGGAAACACAACTTAAGGCCTTCATCATCCTGCTGGTGAAGACAACTCATGGTACAAAGAGTTTGGAAGAGCACCTTGCCATCTTTGTCACTTTTTAGCTGGCATTTAATTAATTCCTCAGTGGTGTCTATGTTGGAGATGTGGGCGTAGATGAAAAGTTTGTTGTTTGAAGCATTAGCAGAGGAAGAGTCTGGCTTTTGGGGACAAGAGAAGGTATTCAAGTGCAAGCTTTTGTTTTCAAGACAGAACTTAGGTGCTTAGATTAACCTCTTTTAAGCTTGATCTTTATTTTTAAGCTTAGATGTTTATTTTAAGCTTGTGGCATCTTAAAATACATCTTTATTTCAAGCTTGTGACRTCAGCATCAGTAGCTTCAGAGTAGGAGCTGAGGGATGCCCCACCCGTCCTGCTCCACCCTTGTGCCATGCAAAGTAGGGAATATTAATTTCAACTTAATAATATTAATTATTTTGTTAATTATRTTTGTTATATTGTCCCGTTTCTTCCTTTTCCAGGATTCCAACAGCGTTGTTGCTGCTCTCTTCATAGACTTCAACAGTTCCCTGCTTCCTCATCTGCCCATCGAATTCCATTCCCAGAACAACTTCCTGATGATTGCACTTTTCCCYAAAAGAAAGATCTATAAAGCTTTTTATTCACAGGTAAAGTAAAATGAGTTCAGTTGTGCTGGGGAGAAGCCACATAATTGCTCTGTGTGTTTAAGATGTGTGAGAAACTCGAATTTCTGTCTGAATTTCCAGCAACAGTGATTCTTCTCAAGTTTAACTCTTCCCATGTGCTTTCACTCTGCCTTCTGAAGGCAGTGAGGGCTCTAAAAGCTCCTTTTCAGGGCTGCATTTCAATGTGGCCCTGGTGTGTAATTGGCTGCAGGGATTGCATGGAAGTGGCAGAGGTTCCATTGTGTGTTTTTGTGGTCAGACACATTTGGATCGTGATCCTTAGGGAAGTTTTGCAGTATCCCATATGGCATTGTATTATTCCCTAAAGTAGATTGGCTTCATGCATTGTGCTGCAGAGGCTTTTAATAAAACCAAACTTTATAACAATGGAGCTTTTGAGGAAATGAGCCTGGAGATTTTAGGACTTCACAAGGCTTTTAGGATGTGATCATCACACTGGGTTGGAAAAGACCACCTAGCTCAGTGAGTAGTCCCCGCTGGTTGTATTAATGGTGCCATAAAATGTCTCCTCCTTTTATCTTAAGTGCTTAAATTCCTCCCACTGTTCCATTCTGTGAATGGTTGGGAATCTGTTGTKTGTTTGTATTTGAATTTTCAGCCTATTTTATTAATTCTGCTTTTATATCTGTTTCATTTGTCTTTCCTCTACCAGAACAAATCCTCGAGATACTCTGAAATTTCAGACCTATTCTTTCTGCTTTATTTTGCCTAATAAAACAAACCCAGATCCTTTTTAATCTATGCCTATAAAAAGTTCTCTTTATTTCTGATCGTTATAATGCTTTTCTTTTCATCTGTTTTTTGGCTGTGGATATCCAGACTCTGTAGTATCTCAGCTGAGGGTGTTTGTTTCCTCTGCTGCATTTTSTCAGGGTTATTTATTCCTGTCCTCTTTTGAGTTAATTTTTTTTTTTTCTGAATAGTTCCACACCAAGGTTCAGTTTAGGCAGTTTAAGTTTCTCATCTGGCACCACACCAGTTGCTTTGCTCAAGTTAAAGCAGATAAAACCAATCKTTTGCCTTCAGGATGTTCTCTCATGAACAAAACCCTTCATCAAATGCAGTGTTCCTGATGGTGTAAGCCATGGAAATAGATCATTGTGTTTTGTCAGTATTTACCTTCAGGTATTTATTGATTAAGTGAACTCTTTCTGAAAGTCTGTGTGCTGTTGCATCTCACAGATCACAAAGTTTCACTGAAATTTAGGTGCTACTTTGACTCCTCACTCACTGGGGCTCTGCTGTGATTATTCCAAACCTCCTGGAAACAGGGAATGGCAACTTCCCTGTGATCCCAGCTCTGGGTTTAGTAAAAGCTGAGATGTTGAGCTCCCAGAGCTGAACTCTTGTGTGCAGATCCTTTGAGGATGGGATAATGCCTTCCACATCCTCACTTGAATGGGTTCGGGAGGAGAATTTGTTTAGGCTTTGAGAAGTGTTGATTTCTCTTTTCTTTTTTTAATGCCCTAGCAGCTCTTTTTAAAGTTTCCATTAAATTTTACAAAAAGGGCTGATCTATTCCCACTGAGTTCTTAGCCTGACCTATGTTTTCACTTTATCCCCAACCCTTTGACTCCTACAGAACACAATTTTCCCTTGACCATTGCTGTTTTCCATCCCTCYTGGCCATTTCTTTTAGTCCCTTCTGTGTGTTTTGAAGTGGTTATTTCTTCAGTTGTGTGGATCCTTCTGCATGAGCAACACTGCCTTGGTTAATATCAAAAGTATCTTTAATTTTGATGGTTTTTATCTCCTACCCTTATGTTTTGGATGCTGATTTTTTAATGGAAAGCAGTCGTGTCCCCCCCAGTTGTTTTGTCTTGCAGATATTTATTGTGAAAAATGACAATGGCTGTTGCCTTTGCTTAGGAAAAGAAGGGAAATACCAAACGCTGACACGACTTTGTGATTCATCTGAATCTGATTTCTAGGTTCACAGTGCCATTCAGATTAATGTGTTTTGGCTGGAGCAATAGGATGGCAGCCAAAACATTCCCTGGAGAAACGAAGGGTTTCCTTTTCTTTTGGGAAGGAACGGAGTTTTTCTTAAATTTCGAGTAATGACTGCTGCGATCTCACCTCATGAAAATTACAGTAGTGCTTAAAAAAGACTTGTGTTCATTCAGTTCTTCTGCAGAGCACTTGGGCTATAAACACCCGCATTTTTTATCAGGGAAAACGAGGCTGTTTCAGTAAATTCCTGAAGCAGTTCCACTCCAGACAAAGAAAAGGTTACAAAATCTGATCTGTGGATTTGAGTTCTTAAATGGTTTGGGTTGGAGGGGACCTTAAATCCATGGGCAGGGAATCTTCCACTATCTCAGGTTGTTCCAAGCCCCATCCAACCCTTGAACATTTCCAGGGATGGGGCAGCCCCAGATTCTCCTGCAGCAAACCCAATATTGTGCAATATTTATGGTCAGTGGAAATGTATCTGTTTTTTTTTGGGTGAGCAAAACCAATTCCTAAACACGTTCAAAGCAAATTTGGGGAAATAATGACACTCATGCATAGATCTGGTTTGTTCCAGGTTTTCTCTTCGTGGCAAAACCAGACAAACTCAGGATTATCTTTAAGGGTTGTCCAGGAGGAATTCCTGTCTGTGGAGCAAAAGAGGATGTAAGTTCCTGCCAGTGCAGTGACACAGGGGTTGCAATCAGAAAAATGCTGTTACTCATTGTTTTTGATAATAATGAAAAAAAGAATTCTTGCATTCTTAGTGCAGTGCTCCCTTTACTTTTTTTTTAATCATTTAATATGTAGCAGTGTTGTTTAAAGAAGATAAATTTTTAGGTTTCTCCTTTAACTAATTAATTAATTTCCTTTTTTTTAGGCATTCCACTGTTCAGAAGCTCTTCAATGCCTTGTCTTTTCCTTCTGGGGAAAGATGCAGGGAGCTGAAACTATCTGCTGCCATTCCAGAATTGGAGAAGTGAGAAATTATTTTTGTATTATGTTTTGTCAGAAATGATACAAAAAATATTTTGGTAGATGTGATACYCATCTAAAAATTGTTTATTAAATAATTCTGTCCTTACACTAGATGTTTCCATTCTAAGATGAATTATTTCCTCTCTAGYTTGACCTTTTAATACTCATATTTAAGTAACTTCCCATCTATTTATATGAATGAAACCTTTTGCTGTCRATTGTAAGGAAATAAACCTTTTATTTTTGGAAGGTTTGTGCAGCACTTCACAGTCAGCAGYGTCAGCACCAAGCCAGTGATGAGAGCACATCTTCCCATCCTTCTGCAACAGTCAGAAACCATTCCTGATAGCAAAGCAGAAGGTGATAAGGTATGGAAACAGCTCCACAATAATTCCTAGCCCTCATATAGAATATTTAGAATATTCTGTCAGTAGTTGTGTTGTAGTGTAGTAAAACACTGATCATGTTCAGCCATGCTCTACTTCCTCCTCCACTACCATCAGATTTTTGCCTTATTTTCGTGGTTATATATTTATTTTCCATTTAAACAATATTTTACAGGTCCAAATGGCCTTTCAGTCTGATGAAACAGAGGCAGAAAATGAGGTGTAGATCTTTAAGTGAACTATTTTCYTCATGTCCAGAGAGACTTCACTCTGAAGCAGCAGCTTGTTTTTCTGAATTGTTGAATAATTTAACTGAATTGTTCTCTGGAACATAAAAGTTCTTTAAATAGCATCGAGGTAGCACATGATATTTAAYATTTGCTGATATTATCTGTACAACACTCCTTTCTCTATAGGGGCAATAACAATTGTCCAACTTAAGGCCTGCTTTAAATAGCATTTTCAGAGAAAATAYTTCCTAGCATTTGAAATTTGCTGAAAACAAAACCAAAACAGCAGGAATATAATTTTCTCTTGGAATATTGTGCTATGGTGGCAGACTTAYTTCCTGGGGTCTGCTTCAGAGACCATACTGGCAATTAATAAATGCTTAGGAATGTCTTAAAATCTGATTTTAACGTTGGCTTAACTGTGTATGTTTAAAAAAGAAAGAAAAATCTATATGAATCATAGAAAACAACTTGTTTTGGTGTCTGTATCAGTGTTCCTGTGGTTGCTGTCATTTTATTTTGYATTTAGACTTGTGTTTTTGCCTGTTCCCTGTGTTGCAGGTGATCATCACCATCCTCACGGGGCTCCCAGGATGTCGTTCCAGTGACCTGTGTGCTTTCCTTGTCACTTTTACCAAGGAGTATGGGAGGTTGGTACAACTCTGCTTACACTCATCACCAAAAACAGCTTGGCATGAAGGAAAAAAAAAAAAACTATAAGTGTTTCATTTGGTGTTTTTTAAACCGAATTTTGAACTGCCAGATATGTTTGACACTGATTTTAGATGTTTAGACAGAAAAACAGCATAGGAGATTTTTTTTTTGCATTCCATGTGGTGAAGAGCTTCCATTTATTGGCTTGTAGTGATTCTAAAATGCATTTTTTTAAATTTTCTTGAGAAAAGACTGTACTAGCAATCCTTGGCAGGGCATTGTTTTTACTTTAGCCTGATTTCTATTCTGCAGGAGCAGGAGGTGCATTCAGGACATCTGTTGTATGGCAAGAATATAAATCTRCTGTGAGAATTTGCCACTCTGTGTGTTGATAGAGCTTCTGGAAAATMAAAAAATAAATTCTTACCCTTTTAATTCTTACAAGCCAAACACCTTAGCATTTAATCTTAGACGTGTTCTGCGCTTTTTTTTTTTTTTAATTTTAACTCAATGTTTTGGTATTATCAGGTTGATTCAGAACAGTTCTGTGCTTCTGTTATAGGGCAAACRCGTAAGGTGACTTTTGAAGGTTGTGTAATAATACATCTCCTCATATTTTCTTGCAAATGTCATTGTTACTTTCCATTTTGGCACTGAAATATTTTCATGCCCAGAGTMTTTTGAATTGGATCTGTCCAATTTTTGTTTCCTGCATCACTGCCAGTGATCAGAATTACTCGGATGATGCACAGCTTTGAAAAAGCTGCCGAACATTGTTTTCTTGTAAAAACAACAAAAAACACCCACAAACCCCTTTGGCAATAATGTAAAGAATGTGCTCGTGCTGGAAATTATCTAAAACCAAGTGAATGCCTCTTTCCCACGTGATCAAGTGGAACGAGATCATGATGAGATGATGAGAGATGTGGAATCCTCGGGTTTGTCAAACTTCATTTTGCTCCGTTGGTTCAAAATAGGAAGAAAACAGCACTACTCTGTCACARCATGAACTCTTTGCTGCTTTCCTGTGTTTTAGGTGGATGGTTTATAGGCAGACCATGGATAGTCCYGAGTGTTTCAGTGCCTCCCATTTCCAGCGTTACCTGTCCGGGCTCCTGGAGGCGCAGCAGAACCTCGGTGTCCGTCAGGCTGGGAAGAGCAGGAGGCTGYTGGTGGTCCTGCAAGGGTAAAGGCTTGAAACTCTCTGAACTCTGGTGTAGAAGAATGGAATTTTGGTTTACAAATTTAGCTTTTCTGTACCTGTTGATTTTGTTGCTTGTTGCTCGTTTGGAAAAAAAAAGTGTCTGTTGCTTTTCTTCCACCTTCTGGAAACAAAGCAGGGGCAGCTGAGGARGGGGATTCTGTCCCTCTGCCCTGCTCAGGTGAGACCCCACCTGCTGCAGGCTCCACCAGCATCAAAAGGTGGGGCAGGAGTGAATCCAGAGCTGCTCCCAGGGCTGGAGCCCCTCTGAGCCCCTCTGCTCTGGAGCCAGACTGGGAGAGCTGGGAATGTTCCCCTGGAGAAGGGAAGGACACAGGGAGAGCTCAGAGCCCCTTTTGGGGCCTGAAGGGGCTCCAGGAGAGCTGGAGAGGGACTGGGGACAAGGATGGAGGGACAGGACACAGGGAATAGCTTCAAATTAAAAAAGAGGAGATTTAGGTGGGATATTGGAATGGAATTCCTGCTGTGAGGGTGGGGAGGTCCTGGCACAGGTTTCCCAGAGAAGCTGCAGCTGCCCCATCCCTGGAAGTGTCCAGGGACAGGTTGGAGGAACCTGGAGCAGAGAAAGATGTCCCCAGTTGTTGCAGGGGGTTGGACTGAGATGACTTTTGAAGATTCCTTCCAACCCAAACTATTCTGTGCTTCTGGCTCCAGAGCTGCCAGCAGAAATCAGACTGTCAGAGATCCCCTAATGCCTGATGGAGCAGGGGGTACCAGAGCGAGATTTAGTGACATGTTTGGGTAAATGCCARTTTCCTTGTGGGATAAAGGTGAAGACTCTGAGCCACCTCTGTTTGACATTTCCACCTCCAGTGTAGCAATTGAGCACTGGGATCATCCTCAGGATGTTTTCCCCCTCTGTTTCTGAGTCATGAGAAGGTGACATAAACCAGAATGAGGGGGGCACCACCCTGACCTGCTGGACTGGGTTCCACTTCATCCTTTTCACTGAGGAAATGCATGTGGAACTCAGCATTTTCTTCATTATGATCCATTTTGATAGTGCTAAAAACCATCCTTTTTTCATGTTGGAGCTAAATTTATTTATTTTTTTGTGAAATCAGTAGGAAAGATATAAAGTCTTGTGATGTGCAAAATAAATAACATTCTGGTAGCAGCGCTGGCTTCAGGAAAAGATAATTGGAGGTTTTTCTGTTCTTTCTGGGTAGCTGGATGTTGGTATAAACAACTTTTAGAGTAGCTGAAGTTCTCCAGATTTCCCATTCAGTTGATAACTGACAGTAGAGAWAAGTTTGAACCTGGCTGAGAAATAAATACCTGAAATCAAAACTCAGATTCACCCAAGCCTTGATATTATACAGAAATGAAATAGAGCAGTGACTGGAGTACTGATAAACAATGGRTGCATTAATGATAGAAACATTTAAATTGGGATGATGATAAGTGAGAGATGCTGTTTATTTATTCCTTTTTTTTAATTCAAATGGTGCTTGATATGCTTGGCATTAGGCATAAAATATTTATGTTATATTTTGCTTTTTTGATCTTCTTGCAAGCTGGACTTTTCACTTTTCAGTGAAAATTTGTGCAGTTTTCCTATGCAGTTGTCAATAATTTATTTTWAATGTAATTTCCAATCAGCTTCAATCTGAATTAGCTTAATTTTTCTGGATTTACTTAATTTGTCTGGATTTGCCACGTTTTGAGCTGCTTTCCATCTCTTTTGGTAGCTCTTCTAAAACCTCAGCCTTCCTCAGAGCGATTGATTTCTTTCTGGATGTGAAACCAGGCCATTCTGCTTCTCTGAGCCCKTTTTTCCTTTTGGTTTCTTACAGCTACACTGATGTTATTGATGTTGTGCAAGCTCTGCAGACTCACCCTGACCCAGATGTGAAATCTTCGTTTGTCATCGGAGCAGTCAATACCTGCGTGGAGCCTCTGAGCTGCTACATGGAGCACAGGTATGCTTTGAGATATTTCTCCAGGTTTAAAAGCAGATATGTACATTTTTGATARCACTTTTACAATAATTAGTGATATAAAATGGTTAAAGACTACTAAACTGATTTAAATCCCATAAAACTGCTTAAAAATCCATCTTGGAGCAACGTGGAAGTGCTGTTTGGTTTATCAGGATGACATGTGGTTCCCACTGGATATATAAATATATAGATAATTAATAAAAGTTCAGCTCCTAGAAGAATAAACCAGGATTGCTTGAATACAAATCCTCTGTCTAAGGAGTTTGTAACATTTGGACAATCAATTGTCCTCTGAAGAATTCTCTTTCTTAAGTCTTTCCTTAAGTCAGACTAAAAATTGAGATGTGCATCTCATTTTGGGTTATTGATTCTGTCRCTCCTTTAGGATGTTAAAAAAGACTTTGCAGGTTTAAAATATGGAATTGAAGGGAAACAATCCCTTAAATGGGGMAGGGAATGACAAAGCACGGAAGCCAAAGCATTGCAAGTGTTAAAATCTGATATCCTGGGTTACTGCAGAGCCAGGGTGGGGAGGAAATGGTYGCAGAGCCAAGTCGCTGACCTTTTGAAATCGTGTGGTTTGGTTGCTGTTTCATAGTAAATGTGTGTGCTCCAGACTTCAACAAACATGGAAATAATTTCTTAGACCTATCTGTAAAATTGTAACACTCCAATTTTTTAATTATGCCTTGCAGCTGATTTGATCAAAGTAAGTTCCAGCAGTTAGAGTTTTCCGAGTTGGTAGCACTGCTTTTGTTTGTGATCAAACTGTGCAGCACAGCTTAGAGATGAACTGCCCAAGCAGTTTCTAAAAGTGCATTCCTAAACTTTCCTGGCTGTTTTTGAACACTAACCAACGTGCTGCTTGTGCTTTGCAGTAGTCAATAAATAGACCTTACCTTTGCTGCTTCTTCTTGTCTCCGTGACAAAGATTCCAAATAAATCATAAAGATGATATCAAACATTGGTGAATTGGTGCTGGAGTGCTGTTTAAACTTGTTCTTTCTATAATTAGAGGAAAGACGAGTTCCATTTCTGTTTTGATTAACTTACTAACGTGTTACTAGTGATGGTACTGAGTAGTGTTCCTAGCAGCAGCAGCCTGCAGTCCTTTAACACCGTTTGGCTCCTGAAATGCAGAAGCAATTGAAGGAAGAGGCTCRTTCTGTGCTGTAGATTATTTATGTTTTGCTTTGGAGTTTGTTCTGATAAGATTTCACCAAGTAGCCACATGGTGCTGATGGCAAATCTTCCARTTGGGAAGCTTTGGTGATTTCACTGTCTGAAACTTGAAATCAAAAAAATCAAACCCCTTTCCTGCCTCAAAGTTTGTCACTGTAGAGATCCATCTCTTTCATTTCCATCTTCCAGCATTTCCCCATTCTGTATTAGCAGGGCAGGGGAGAGGGAGTTGAAGGGAACAGGTAAAATACTCTCTTGAGCTTTTTTTGATAAAGCTCATGAAAATAATTCTCATGAAAATAATTCTCACTGGTCTGACACAGCAGCAGCAATTTGCATTATGTACATCCAGTCTTTCTATGGAAAGTTGCCACTCTTTGGAAGGCACAATTCTTTAGGGCAAACTTTAAATTCCTATTGTTTAAATRAGAATTAAAGTAACACTGAAGCATTTCTGACTCCATAGAATACAGAATTAATTGCTTGGTGGGAATTAAATCTGTTGGAGAATTAAAACCATCTACAACAAGAATGATTTTTGGGAAAAAAAAAGTCCTGAAAGACATAACCTGAGAGGATGTTGCAGTTAGATGGATTGAGGAAAAGAAGCATGAAAATGGTTTGGTTCGTGAGACTTTGTCAGCATCCAAATGAATGTAAATGTTTTACTTAAATAACAATAATATCCATTCTTGATATGTGAACTTCTTGGTTTTTTAGGCTTCTTTTTCCCAAGTTCTTGGACCAGTGTTCCCAAGGTATGTGTCACTTTTCTTGACTCTGAGCTTTACAGAATAACAGTTGAGCCATGTGGCCAAATAAATATATGGATTTATTATTTTGTGCTAATAATCTATGTAGCCAAAGGGTCATGATTCACTCTTGGAGGTAAGAACAGACAATCTCTGCCTACACTATCAAACATCACAGGCAGGAGGTGGAAAATTCTGGAGCGTGATCCATTTTGAAATCTTCATCTGGAGGATGGGTTTTCCTAAGAGTTTAACCTGAGTTGAACTGTTCATCTTGAACTGTTGTACCTGGGAGTGAGATGGATTGGATTTGAGTTCCACCCTCCTTGGGGGAGGTGTGAGGAAATGAACTTTTCCTTTCTCCTTTTTCCTTTTCCTTTTTTCATTTTCCCTTTTCCCTTTCCCTTTTCCTTCCTGGTCCTTGTGGCTGCTTCACCTCTGAGTGCTCTGTCTGTCTGTCAGAGTTGTTCCACTTCTTTTTTATGTGTGAAGGGAGCCCAAAAGAATGAAATTGTGAACAAGCTGCACAGAAAGTAGGTGCTGTTACACAGATCAGGATTTTATTTAGAGAAAAAATATTTGTACTGCAAATTGGGGAAGTGTCGTCGTTACAGCCATGGGTAAATTTGAAGAGAGCAGCAAAATGTTAAGAATATAAAAAATTATCAATAACTACAGAGAAGTTAAAAGTGCAAACATGCCCTTTTTAATGACAGAAGAAATTAAATAAATACTCAAAGTTTTGTTTTTCTTAAAGTGCATTTGCACTTTAAGATTAGGTGAGAATTTGTTGTTGAAGGAGGAATTGAAATGCCTGGGACAAGTATAGCTGATTTTCCTACAGTCCAAATACTGCAGGAATTACAAGTTTTGGAGGTTAGAGGAATGTTCTTGTGGCACAGAATCATTTCTGCACGTTGCAAAGTGTTGTCATGCAGTTTTCAGATACAGAATGTGACATCAGATGGCCGAGAGGTCCCTTCGTGTAAAGAAGTTGTTTCACAGAAATTGGGGTAATTTTAGTTTAAAAGGTTTAGGAGGAAAAGTATGCTTTGAAGTGAGATGTGGCACATTGAAACTTTCCAGAATTGGGTCACGTGTGGAGCAGAGAATTTATTTCTGCATAATTCATAGAATCCCAGACTGGTTTGGGTTGGAAGGGACCTTAAAGATCATTTAGTGCCACCTTCCACTGTCCCAGGATGCTCCAAATCCTGTCCAGCCTGGCCTTGGACACTTCCAAGGACTGAATTGTCCTGGGCTTTGGGTTCACAGATCTGAAAAGAAGAAACTTATGGGTGTAAGAAAATCCAAGTGCAGCCATAAGCAAATAGGAATTTATTAGACTTTGCTCTGTTCCTTCTCCTCACAATTATTCCAAATCTGGAAAGTGGGCAAGGTTTGCCTTTTGCTGCTGCTTCCCAGGGCTCTTCTTTTGGTGCCTTGCTCTGTAACAAAGGGGTCCCTGTCACATTACAATGTGACATCAGTTTCCAAAATTTCAGTTTCCAAAATTTCTGTTTGGAGAGCCCCAGGACTCACAGAGGCAGATGAGGATTGGGGAGAAGCTTTGAGCAGAGTGTCCCACACAAGTATCCCATCCATTCTTGCTTAAAYTTTTCCAAAAACCCCTGCCACCATCTGTGTGCTGTAATTCCCTTTTGTCTCTCCTTTTTTTGGTCTTTTTTTTTCTTTCCTTTCTTCCTTGCACAGAAGCTGTAAGATGATACCTTCCTAGTCCGAGGGCACCCTGGCATCCCTTGAAAAACAATTTCATATAGAACACAAATTAAGACGTCACCATTGTTCAATATTCCCATTGTAAGTKTGGGAGCAAAGAGGAGCCATTATTTTCATAAAGCATATGCATTTTTAATCCATCCCTCCTGTTTCTTTCCTGCYTCCATTGAACATGCTATTCCCCAGGCTGCAAGGGTTCTTTTCTTTAGAGGAATGTTTAAATAAAGAATTGTACAAAACTGGGTGGTCTTCAAAATGCATCTCTCAGAAACGGAGATGGCAGTGGCAGCTAAAATAGAAAAGGTTAAATTTGTTCATTGCTGAACCTTCCAGTTCTSTTTCTTCCAGAAAKTTCCTTTTCTGCTGKATTTCACTCCCTATCCATCAATCCAGGGTCATGGATTGGTGCCTGCTAACACAGGGCAGTGTTTGTGTGATCCCAACACCTCYRGGGTTTCTGCCTGGGYGTGAGCAGAGCCAGAGCTCWCAGGTTCCWCRAGGTCTGAGCAGGMTTCTCCTGCTTCCAGGGATGTGTGGGAGTTTCCAGTTAGGAATGACAGGAGTGCCCAGGATCTGTTCCCTGGGACAGAACAATGGAGCCGAGATTGATGGAGAAGGAGCCGAGGTGCAGAAGTGTAGGATTTCCCGATTTGTTTTTCCTTGAATCTTCCTTTTAAATTGAAGCTTTTCCAGCTCAATCCTTGCCCAATTCTGGATTCTTTCCCAGGAGTGGTGCTGCCCATTGTCACATGGACTTGGTGGCATCTCTGTAGCACAATCACAGTGTGGTAGTGGCTGATTCAGGGATTCCAGAATGGTTTGGGTTGAAAGGGATCTCAAAACTCATCTCATTCCACCCTCCTGCCATGGGCAGGGACTTCTTCCACTATCCCAGATTGTTCCAAGCCCTGTCCAGCCTGCCTTGAACACTTCAAGGATGGAATTAGTACCTTATTCATGGCATGATTAGCTTATTCCTACTTTTTATCTTAATATCCCCAAACGTGACATAATCTCAAGCCTAGCTTATATTTCAAAGAGTATTTGCTGTCCTCCTTCCCTTTTCCCCCTCCTCMRAGAGCAATTGTGCATTGGAGAAGRCATGGATATTCCTGAAATTGGARTGGAAACTTCTGTGCAAGKTWAAAAAAACCCCAAAAACCAGAAATACAGTGATGGAGATTTGGGCTGTTWAATGAAGTTCTGGTTTGAAAGGGTCTGGGATGCAAAGAGCAGTGTGGATATGATGGAAATACCCCAGAAATATGTGGTGCAGGAATTTCTGGGTAAAACAGCCTCTGCATGGATTTAGATGATTTAAAGACCAGGAATAACTGCAGGCAGCAGATCAGATGTGATCAGTTGTTGCATCTTTGCTTTAAATAGTTGGAGGCAGAGGAAATGGATCCTGGCTCAGTTATTGATGGATATCAGAGATTTTCTGTTCTTCCTTCCGCTGTACTTGTAAGTCACAGGAGAGTGTCAGAACAGAGCTGCACACCTTGAGCAAAGAAATTACATTTAGTGTAAAATTCCAGAATTGTTTAGGTTGGAAAAGATCTCCAAGATCATCAATTCCAATCATCAACCCAGCACCAGTTCCCAGTTCCCCATTACATCGTGTCAACTACATCCACGTGTTTTTTGAACACTTCCAGGGATGGGGACTCCACCACTGCCCTGGGCAGCTGTGCCAGAGCTTTACAATCCTTTCCACGAAGAAATAGTTTCTTATTTCTAATCTAAACCTCCCCTGCCACAACTTGAAGCCGTTTCCTTTCCATTTCCTCTCCATCCCTCTCCCATTCAGGGCAATACAGGCATCCCAGGGAGTCCCAAAGTGTTAGCACTGCAATTTCTTTGAGGAACTGGGCTGAAACTCAAATAATGTATAATTGGAAAGCAGGGATCCTAGAACTGAAATGAATTGGATGGTTTTTGTTATCTTTTTCATGCCTCGTGGGTTCAGTCTCGCTGTCTGAACACCCTTTTGGAGTCTAAAGATAAAAAATAACCCCAAACCCTTCTGTTGTTTTTGGAGGTGGCAGCTGAGAGTCCAAAATACTGATTTTTAGCTGTTGAATCTTAGTTCACTTGAATTCTCCAAGAAGCAACACTTTAATATTCTTTTACTTTAAGCTAGTCCTGCTCAATCTGATTCTTACATGGATTTATTATTTTAATTAATTGATTATTTGGATTCAGTCTAAATTGCTTCTGTTAGATTTTAGATTCTCTGCTTGTTTTTTTTTGTGTCGATTTTTTTTTTCACTTTGCTGGRAGAATTTAGTGAGAGGGAAGGAAAATAAGAGCAGAACAGTTGGAATATCACTGGATGGTTTCTTAGTCAGTATTTACATGCCTGAAATGTGTAACTGATCCTGATTTCCTTCCCCAGGACTGGTGAGTAACGTGGTTTTCACCAGCCATGCCACAGATCAGAGGCACCCACTCCTCGTGCAGCTGCAGAGCCTGATCCGAGCAGCAAATCCTGGAGTTTCCTTTGTCCTGGCAGAAAATGGAATTGTAACGAGGTAATGTTAACTGGGATTTATCACTTCTGGCACAYGGGCCACGAGCACTCAGAAACTTCTGTTCTCCTGTTTTGCTCTGCTGATTTATAGGAAGGAAATGCAGATTTTGCTTAATTGCTTCTTGTGCAAAAGGGATTTTCCCTTTACATTTATGGGCATATAAATGCAGGGATTAGGAAATGTGTTTTGTTTGCAGAGTGTGATTTATGCTGCTTTTACTGCCAYGCTAAAGGAAAAAAGCTCTTAATTTTACTGTCACTAGCACATTATGTTTTATGGAAGTAGATAGTGGCCATTTTATTTAACTTATAAAATTAAAACTCTTCATTTTTATCTCTTTACAGGAATGAGGATATTGAATTAATTCTCTCAGAAAGCAGTTTTTCAAACCCTCGRATGATGAGAGCTCGATATTTAATGTACCCTGGCTGGCAAGTATCTAGAACAAGAAGTATTAAAACTATTTTTCTAATTAACTTGAAGATTCAAACGTTTCACTAACTTCATTTATATWTTTTTTTCCCCGAGACTACTCATTTGGAGCAGGCAGCAGCTTTGTAAATCATTTTTAAGAGAGCTGATGATTATTCTTAGTGGATACACGATGGCTGCCCTTTTATGGGGGAAAAAAGCTCCTTTCTGGACACCATTTAAATYAATGGCAAGATTACTGTTGCTTTCCAGAAGAATAGGCAAGAACCCTGTGGGAATAAGCTGGGAAGGATTGGGATGGGTGAGGTCAATAATGACTGGAGTAATTTCATCCTGACAGCCATTCAGCATTGCTGGAATGAACTGGCTTTGTCACTCTGGCCATTAACAGAACAATTATTTGTGAAAACCAGGAGCCTCCGTGACAACCTTGGCATGGGCTGAGGCACAAACCCACGTGGCACCAAACTTTTCCAGCGAGGGAGATCTCTCCTGGCTCAGGGTTCTTTGCACATCTTGTTGCAGTTATCTAGGCTGCACCTTTTTGGCACAAATCTGAACCTGTCAGCCATCAAAACTCCTTCTCTCTGTGCTGGAAATGTGATTTATTTATCAGGTTGCAGCCCTCTATGGGTGTATATCGTTTTATTCATAAATCTGCTTCTAAATTGGATGTAAGTGGCCAAGTAAGGCTACTGGAGTAAACCAGCACCAGAGCTGTTTGTGGATTGCATGGAGCCAAAGAGAGAAAGCAGGAGAAGAAAGTATTTAAAACTTTTGGACAGCTGTTAATCTGTTTGATGACAGTGCGCAAAAATTGTATCTGGGTAGTTTGTAAGAAAAAAAAAAGAGCAGCAGGAAGAGCATCAAAAGCATCCAGGGAGAGCTGACTGCAGCTTTCCAGTACCTAAAAAAGGCTCATAAAAAAAGGGAATAGAATGAGTTTCTACATGGTAGATGGTGACAGGACAGGGGAGAAGGGTTTAAAATGAAAGAGGAGAGATTTGGATTAGATTTTARGGAAAATTCTCCTCTSTGAGGGTGGTGAGGCCCTGGCACAGGGTGCYCAGAGAAGCTGTGGCTGCCCCTGRATCYCTGGAARTGTCCAAGGCCAGGTTRGATGGGGTGGTGGAAGGTGGAGGTGGAATGASATGACCCTTAAGGTCCCTTCCAACCCAAACCAATCCACAATTTATGAAAAGGAGCYCTCAGCTTGAACCAACCTCATGCTGTTGGTAGCACATTTTCATGGAGAAGAAAGCTCAGTATTGTCCTTCCTGAGCAAGGCTCAGSTGTGGTGAGCAAACAGATGCTTTTTATTGAATGAAAAGCTCAAATCCTGTGATTTCAGTCTGTTGAAGGTGTTTTTTTGTTTTTATCCCCAGGTATGAGGGCAAATACGGGGCTGGGCCTGTGTTCCCTCCCATGGTTCAGATCTGTGTGTGGTTCAGTCGCCCTCTGGAGAAAACACGATTCGTGGCCAAGTGCAAAGGTACCAGTGAACTTTGCCTGACTTGATTGAAATCCAAGTTTGGGATGCTGAGGGATGGAGGGGAAGGAAGGCACTGACGTTAACACAGTTATTTAATCACTGCTGAAGTTCACTTTTAATTGAAAACTCAGCTTTCCTTCCTCCAAGTACAGTAAATTCTGTTCTTTAGTGTCTGCTCTGGAAAGCTGTCCCACGATTTAGTTCAGATGCAAATCTAATTGAATTTTTGGTTTCTGGGACTGAGACATTTCCTATGTTTAATTGTATTTGGTAGTGTTGAAATTAATTTTATAAGTGACCATCAGCTTCTACTTTTTATGCCAAATAATTCGTTGTAGCTGCTAGAAAACAGGTTCAGCTCTAGAGTAGATAAATTACCAAACTTCTCCTCCTTTCCTTAGCCAAGCACTGTTAAAGTGGAGGATTTTACTTTCCACACATTAGGAGTTCCTTATGTCAARCACATTTCCCAAAGAATAAGAAAATAGAGGAATGTTTAGGACACCAGTGGACATGGCAGCTTTTCCCTTGGGGTGTGGTTTAGAGATGAATTGCACAGGTTTTACCAGGAGCCCCACCAAGGAGAAGGAAAAGAAGTTGAGATAATCTGTTTGTCTTCTGTTTCAAACAGCAATTAAGTCGTTGCTCAAGCCAAGTCCTTTTTCTGGAAACATTTATCACATCATGGGCAAAGTGAAGTTTTCAGGTAAGGGCAAATTACTCCTGAGGTGGTGTGATCACCCTGCATGTTATGTGTATTTAAAAATGAATTTCTGTTCTGTTTCTGGAGTCTGTCTGCACCAGTGCTGATGTTTAGATTAGATTAGCAATTCCTTCTGTCTTCTCCTCTTTAGATGCTGATAAAATCATTGAAGTCTGTCACAACACATCAGCAAACTCCCTAAGCCTGGTGCCTGTTCCAGAGGGGCCGACTCCTCCTGATTGCAGGAGCGATCCCAGGGACTGCAGCAGTCAACAGGAATAYTTCCTTGTGTTCATTGGCTGCTCCCTGAAGGAAGAGGATATCAAAGATTGGCTCAGAGAAACCGCAAAACAGGTTTGTGGGGCAAGTTTTGTTCAGTGCTTGGCATTTCTTAACAGCAAAAGGAAAAAATCACGGCGTCTCCATGAAACATTTGGGTTTCTTAATCTCTTTTTTCTTCTGTGGAGGTATTGACATTCCAGGRTGCAAATGTATTTCAGGAAGGGGACTGAGAATTTACAAATGTGTATCGTAATCTGGGCATTGTTTTAGTGCTTGCTACAGCTTATTCATGRATTGATCTGCTCTTGAATGCTTGAGCAAATGGATTATGTCCAGGATAAACACAGGATGATTTAGCTGAGCTGTGATTGCCAAGGGCTCAAGTGTGCGATGAAATAAATCTTCTTCAAGTACCTGAACGCTGGCAAAGCTGAACGTTTGTTTTGATTCACTAAATTAAACCTCCTTGGAAGTAATCCACTGCAATGGAGGCGAGAGTCCTTTTCATTTTGTCATCCTGAATTACTCAAGTGTGTTTCTGTGTGGTTGATGGATCCAGGCAGTGGGAATTGGAGTGGGGAGCAGGGAATGTGCCTGTTGGAAGAAGCCCAGAAGGCACCGTTTGCTCACAGGAACTGCCAGAATTGATTGATGGAATCACAGATCCATGAAAYCCTGGGATGGTTTGGCTTGGAAGGGACYTTAAATCMCATCCAKTGTCACCCCCTGCCATGGCAGGGACATCTTCCACCAGCCCAGGATGCTCCAAGCCCTGTTCAACCAGGGCTTGGACACTTCAGGGATGGRGCAGCCACAGCTTCTCCGGGCAATCTGTGCAAATTTTGGAGCATTTTTAATTAAAAACACCCCAGGTTACGTCTTAATGGTTTAGGATTTGCCCAGTRACTCCAAAAATCTGTGTAGGAAGGGAAAAATGTTTCCTGCACACTGTGGATGGAGCAGTTTCTGAGGTTTCTGAGATGCTCAGGTTCTCATCTCTGTCCTCTTGGCACACTGTGTTAATTTAGGGATTTAATCAATTTTCTGTGCTGATTATCTCCTGCTCTGCACTTACCACAGGGATAATATATGGAGACAAATGCTTTTCCATGTAAAAAAGCTCTCAATGGAATACTACTTAAATTTTATGAAAACTTGAAATTTAAGTGCTTATCTCAAGTGTGAAGTGTTTCCTCTTTGAGCAGTTCAAGACTATAAACACTCTTTGTACAGTCATGGSTAATTTAAGGTTTTTCAGATAGCTCTGAGAGTTACCACATGCTGCAGGAAAGAAAGGGATTACAGAATTTTTCAGACTCAAAATGAACTTGTTTTTCTGTTCCTGTGCCAGCAAAGCTGTATTTAAATTGTATTGTTTARAATACTTTTAGAATTTTTCATTTCTAAGCTTTTTCTGTAGGAACAGTGAATTTTACTTTTGTTTTCAGAGCACAGTTGTGAGCACCTTCATAGAATTGAATAATTTTAGAATTTTTTTTTTTTAATATGTGCTTCTATTTTGTGGTTTGGGTTGTTTTTTATTTTTTAAATTTACTTTTTAACTGGCAAAGCTGTGGTATCACATCACCCCTCCGCAGTTACATAACTGGAATCTCATTCTTCACACAGAAACCTCAGAGGAAAGCCCTGAAAACCMGAGGAATGTTAACCCTTCAGGAAATAAAAAACATTCACGTGAGTAAAAGCAATAATTTACAAACCCTTCTTTTGGCTGATCTCCCGTAAATATCCCATAAATATCTGGATGACAGAGCACCTGCCACAACAAGTGTGCTGAGCACTAAATTATTACAGCACTTAGTGTCTTGGGAGATAYTTGGAACACAACTGGAGCTGTCCAGGAGGGATTTGAGAGATAAATCTGATCCCAGAGCTCCAAGTTCACTCTGGAAAACAGGAGGAGGTGTAAAATTTGGCATCTTTTTTGGCCCTTCAGTTTTAGCTATTGAGGTTTGTTAGGACTGCCCCTACAAATGTTTAATTGAAATTCTTTCTTGCTGCAGGTGAAACGCCACTTGGATCCACTTCCAGCTGGTTATTTTTACAACGGGACTCAATTTGTGAATTTTTTTGGTGACAAAATGGATTATCATCCATGTATCCTTAAAAAGGTGGGCCTTTTGGGGGGAAGATTTTGGGTAGGAACAGACTGTGCCACTYTGAAATGCAAAGTGCCAAAGCAGATTGGGTAGTAAAGAACCAATTCCTTGCCACTGGAGCTGGAATGAAAAGGTGTTAAAACCCTTTTTCAGAGATAAGGTCTCAGAAGCAGAATAGAACCGACAAAACAAACCCMAAACTGCCCATGAGCTCACTCAGGGAACAATTTATGGGACCACAGCTTCTCAAAGAAAYATTTTTCAAACCAAATAGTGCTGTGATATCTCTGAATGCCTGGGCACGACTGATAAACCTTCCAAATGAATGTAATTTTGTGTGTGCACACACTCCAGTGAGAACAATCAGATTTTTTTTTTTAGTGTTGCCCTGGCATTTCTTGCCAATGTTCCAGCRTATTCCTGTTGTCCTTGGTCACCACTTGGGGACATGGRTTAGTGGTGGGTTAACAGTTGGGTTTGATGATCTTAGAGAGCTTTTCCAGCCTTAGTAATTCTGTGATTCTYTCATTTTCATAACTTTCTGTTGCTTTTGTCTTTGCTTGGTTTTATATTCCCAGTTTGSTKWWC